GCTTTCCTGCAAAGCCCTAGCCCACTGGGCCCTCTCTGGTCCTCGGCAAACAACCTCTGCTCCAACTCCCTTCAAGCCACAAGGGTTTGTCCCAGGCAAGCACCCTGATCTGACCGGCAGGAACCCCAAGGACAGGACACCAAAGCCTCAGGACGGCTGAGACACGCCTCACCTAGGCCAGCCTGAGGCTGAGCAGCCAGTGCGTGTTCCCTGTGCCCTGGCTTCTGCCACGGGGTGGGGAGGGCACCCCTGGGAGAACCTGTCACTGTCCCTCTGAGTGTGCAGGAGAGAAGGCTGCACTGTGCGTGAGGCTAAAATCTGCCAAAAGGCCAGCAGAGAAGTGAATGGAGGAGAAAGTAAAAGGTAAAAGGAGGGAAGAAAAGATAGGAGGGAGGGGAGAGGAGGGAAGGGAGAGGAGGGGAGGGGAGAGGAGGGAGGGGAGGGGAGAGGAGGGAGGGCAGGCCCACTGCAGATTTGGGGTGCTCTGGTCACTCACCACTCTGTAACCAACCACACCACACTGGGGCCTCAAAGCACCACCTTACTATGACCGCTCACGGTTCTGCAGGTTGACAGGGCTCAGCTGGGCAGTTCTCTTGTCATCTCAGGTGGTAACGGCTGGATGGCAGGTGGGGCTGCAGGCATCCAACGGCTGCAGTGGGCTGGCTGTCCACAAGCTTCCTTGACTCAGGCCTGGTGTCTCCGTGTTCCTGGCCCTCTCTTCCCTGTGGCGTCTCATCCCCCAAGGCCTTTCCAGGTGGCTTCTCCCAGTAGAGGGGAGGTCTCAGGTTGGGTGTGAAGAAGTAGGAGGCAGATACAGCAGGCAGGCTGAGGGCCACACCTGGAGCTGACACGGGGTCACTTCCTCCATGTTCTGTGGAGCTAAGGTGGCCCAGATTCAAAGGATGGAGACAGAGACTACAGGTCTTGGTGGGGAGTGCAAGGACACAAGGCAGACAGGCACAGGATGGGAGACGCGCTGTGGCTGCCATGGTGACGGGGTGGCTGTGACATTGAGCAAACAGGTGGAACTTCCGGGAAGGAACCCACAGCTTCTCCTGGGCTTCTGATGGGACTCATGGGTGTAAGCGCCATCACAGGACTCAGCGCCTGGGGCTGTTCTCGAGTCAGGACAGCGTCTCGGTGCCTTTGGGTCCTCACACAGGGCCCAGCACTCAGGTGGTGCTGCACAAATCTTTGTTGTATGGACTTACGCGGTGCCCGCAGAAGGGTGTCCCTGCCTCCTTTGGAAAGTCCTCCTGGGCACTGTATTACACATGTTCTCGGCTGTGACCCTCACTGGGCTACCATCTAACACATGGCCTTGTATACAGTAGGCACCCAGCCCATCTTTGTTGAATGAATAAATGACTGCGCGGACACAACTGACGATCTAATACGTCTCTTGGGAAGTGGTGTCTTAGCTCCCCCTCTCCAAGCTCTAGAAGGTCAGCAAGTGACACCAGTGCCCGGATCCAGGTGCGGAGGCTTCCCTGGCCCTGGCAAGCCCCAGCACCTGCTGTGTTGAGAACATGGGGCCTAGCTGCCACTCGACACGTGGCAGCTCACTGAGTCTCACGGGCGAGAAGACAGTGGCTCAGAGACTTGAAGTCACTGGGCAAGGTCACACAGGCTCATCCTCCCGACGGGACTCAGACTGTGGGTGTCTGACCATTGCACTCCTGCCTCCCTCTGGGGGTCAGAGGCCACGTCAGCCTTCTTGTTCCCAAACAGCTGTGTTCTGATCCGGTTCAGGGGCACAGCTCTGTTCCAACCCGACCAAAAGGGGTCTCCACCCTGCAGGCCGCCTCCCCGGCCACGGCAAAGCAGCTCTTCGCAACGGCCATGCTGGCTTCCTGGCTGGGCCGGAGCACGCAAAGCTTAGACAAGTTTCACCTCTGGTTTAGCATAACAAAACTTTTAATTTAGATGTTTTCATCTCTCTCTCCAAGTAAAAATAAGTTTAAAATAATGACTGTAATAAATGAAGGTAATTAATTGTAGTTTGTTCCTTTACTGTCTAGTCAGCTTAATTTTACCTTTTCAACTAATAATGAGAAAATAATTTTTGTGCTCGGAGGGTTAATGATATGTAACTGCAAGAACTGCTAATTGCATGTTGCAATCCATCCATCAACAACCCCATCTGTGCGCCTTGATTATGTTTGCTAAATTATTGCTTTGAATTATCTTTCATAAAGCAACTTTTGTAATTAGCGGGGCTTTCGTCTTGCTCTTTTCTCTGCCAGGCGAGGAGACTCAAACTTTGGCCATTTCAAGCTGTCTCCGCGCAGCCACCTTCCCCGGCTGTCTTTGTTCCCCCGAGCAGGGAAATCATCGCTGTCCTTGAAGCAATCAACAGAGGGGGAGCTTCCTGGATTCACAGCAAGGCAAATCCGCTTCCTTCCCACCCCTCCCGCAGGCGCGCGCGCACACACGCGCACACACGCTAAAAACAGACCCACGCACACAGAGCACACAAAGGTAGAAAGGACGCCCGGATTCCACACGTCCCAAGGCTGGTGGCGAGGAATTCAGGAATAAACTTGCACAGGGTTTACTACAACCGGAGGCTGGCCCCAGGGACGGGCTGGCGGCGGGCCGTTCGGCCCTGGCGTTTTATGGGCTGGTTTATGGGAGTCGGGATGGCGTCTGCCCCGGGGAATGTTTCCGGGAGGTGATTAATGCCCACTTGGGAACGCGCAGCTCCAGCCCAGAGCCTGGCGGAGGGCGAGAGGGAAGCGGCGTGAAGGATGAGCCCTCATTAAAAAAATTAAAATGAAAATCATATTTGGATTATAAACAGCCTTGCGTGTGCGGCTCGTTCCGGACAAAGATGCTTTTTATTAACACCTTTCTTTGGCGGCTGTTTCTCCCCCGGGGCGCGCGGAGGGACACGGTGGCCACAGTGGCTTAGTCAATAGATCATGAGGAAGGCGGGGGTTTTGGAATAAAATTCCAGACAAATGCAGTCTTTTTGGTACATTAAAGGGACGATGGAAAGCCCTCTTAAGAAAATTAACGAAGCCCTTTGCAGATGCCCGGCCACTAAGGCGGTGTCTGTTGAGCCTGCCACCGGGTTCGGAAGCACGCGTGCGGCACTGTGTTCCCTTTCAGATCTGCCAAGACTTCCTCTGGCCCGGCGCTGGCTGAGCACCCACTGTGTGCGGAAGCCCTGAAGACCACCTCCACGCTGCTGAGTCCTTGGAATCCTGAGCACCGGCCTCATGGGCAGAGGGCAGCCGGAGCTCCACACAGCTCATTTCAGGGCAGGGCCGGGAAGCAGGCCAGGCCCGCAGGAGGCGGCCCCGACCGCTTCACCACGCCGACGCCGCCCTGGGGTCTTCTCCTGACCCTCACCCACCCTGCCCTCCTGAAAAGAAGACACAGACGCGCCTGCGCCCACGGGCACGGAAAGCCCCTTTCTTTGGGAAGAAGAGAGGCTGACTCTCGCTGAGCTACCGTGGAGACTGAGCAAACCCGCAGCGCGGCCACTGATGACAGTATCACACACTACCCACGACCTCCACACTCGTGCTGCGAGCACGTCTCAGTGTCAACCGCAGCCTTAGCAGAGAGCGTCCTTAGCAACCATTTTGTGGACGAGGACACAGACAGAGAGAGGCTAAGTCACTCACCTAAGCCCGCGTGGCTACTGCGTGGCAGCAGCGAGGTTCAGACCCAGGCCAGGCCCAGAGTCTGTGCTTGTCACCCCCTCACCAGACACTACCTTAACCTCTTTCCTTGCATTTTATCTAGTTCTCAAAACAATACAAAAAGACCTGTAGCACCTTTGTGCCCATTTAACAGACAGGGAAACTGAGCCTTGAAGAGGCTAAGAGAAGCTCTGCTCACATCAACTCAGGCAAAGGAAAGCTGACAAAAGGACACAGTCTACAAAACAACGCCCGTGGGGCTGGGCAGGGGTCAGCTGCCCAAGAGCCTATGTGCCGGGCAGCCCTGGGACCAGGAGTTGGCAGACAGGAATCTCTGTTTTTCGTTTTTTTTTTTTTTTTTAAACCACCCACACATCCAAGGAAACACATTCCCAACATTATTGGCCTTTTTTGTTTTGTTTTGTTTCCCCCTCTCCCAGCACAGGGAAACTTACAAGCAAATGAATCAATACCGGGTGGCCCTATGAATAAATAAGCACATCAGTCAACTCAGTAATAAAATGAAGGGATGAAAAATATGGAAATCAGCGACATTTGTGTAAATCCAGTTACTGTTTACTTTAATATTGCCGTGCGCACTTACGTGGCTCCAAAGAGACAGATAAAGGTAGCCTGGGGCTTGGCGGACAGACGTACAGCGCATCCCCAGGGCAAGCTCTGAGGACGGCCAACCCCGGGGGCCCTGCCTGAGCCCACCGCTCCCGGAAGAAGCCCTTCAAGATGGAATCTTCCAGCGGTGGCCTCCCTGCCACTCCCCCACCCAGGGAGTGTCCAGCCTTTGTCCAGCCGGGCTCCTGTGCCTGCCAGGTCAGCGGACACGCTCAGAACCCCGGTCAGAGGTCAGACGACGGGAGCCAGGAGGGCACGCCGGGCAGGGGGAGTGACTGCAGCTGCTGCAGAGGGACTGGAGCCGGAGGGCTGGCAGGAAAGGACACGACCCGCGCGGACTTCACGTTCAGAGGGGGTTGTTTGCCTTTGGGACTTCGCTGCCTGAGGGGAAGGGTGCCGTGATCACCTGGCACAGACCTCTGTGTTTAAAAACGGAAAACTGAGCCTGGAAGGTAAAGCGGTTTGCTCAAGGTCGCAGGTCTGACTCGCAGCAGAGCCAGCCCCGGGCAAACCTTGGACAAGACTTCTTGGGATGAGAATCGGGAGGTCCACCAGACCCAAGAGAGCCGTGACACCCTTGGAAGGGACACTACAGGGAATGGGACAGAGGTGGGCACGGGGGCAGGGCAGCTGGCCTCCTTTGGCAACTCCGAGTGGGACAGGAGGGGCAGCTGGTGCACTTCTCTGACACACCGCCATGGCCCTGGGTCTTACCTCAGCCTGGAAGCTTTTTAATACAGGAGCCACCATCTCTCTGATTTCCTGAAAAAGAGATCAGCGAAGAGTTCACCACAGCACCAGGTGGGACACCCCCACTGCCCAGCTCGCAGCTCGTCCTTGTCCCACGGTCAGCCTCTCCCCAGCATGTCCTGAGGGACCTGCACTCCACGGGATTTCCTAAGGGTGATTCTGCCCTGGAGAACCGGGGGTGCTAAGCCCAATCAGACTGCGAAGGTCATGTTCAAGAATCTGCTGCCCTGCAGGCCGTGGCAGTCTGACACAGCACGCACTGGGACTTTCTGGAAGAGGGAGGGGGAAGCAGCTGGATTTGACCGTGGAATGGTCTTTTGGGCAGTGCATCATGGTGGTCCATCACAGGGCACCTGTGCTGGGGGACAGAGAGACGGCTCCAGCTCTCCACACGGAGCGCCGTCATCCAAATCTCCCGTCGTTCAGGGCATCACTTGGGCTGCCTCCCCAGCGAAGCCTGCTTTCTGTCTTGGCAACGCCACGGTGTGCCGGTCCCTCTTTCCGCACCAGTGTGCGCAGGTTCTGGGCACTTGTCTGGGTCTTCCCTGCACTGTGATGCCAGCTCAGAGGAGGGCCCTGCCTGTGTCGGATGAACTCCGTGGACCTGGGCTGTCTTCTACTGCCAGACCCTAAGTGACCAGGAGGTTCCTAGCCCGAGGGTTCCCTGGCGGACTCTGATGGGTTCCTCTCCCCAGCATGCGGGGAGGGGGGAAGCCTTTGAGAACCCTGTGTCCCAAGACCCCACCCCTAAATCCTCATCTCCTCTGAGACCCACCGGGGACCTCCCAACCACAAGCAGCCACAGCACAGGACATCCCTGCTGGGGGCGGGGGAGGGTGGCAGAGAAGCAGGAAAGGGCCAGGTGGGCAGATGGATCCTTGTTCAGATAAAGAATAAATTCCTTAGTTATGAAACTAAGGTTGTGCTGCTCCTGCTCCTAGAAAAAACCCCTCTTCTGGGTCTGGGGTGCCCTGCCTCACTGGTGTCTGCTCCCAGGGCATCTCAGAGTCACTGCTGCCCTGACACCCCTTAGGGGGCCAGAGGCAGCGCACCACGTGGCGGATGTGGCTTCGAGGCTCAGCAATGGAAAAGGAAGCCTGGGAGCCCCTGGGCTGCAGCTACGAACCTGAGTGCCCAGCAGGGTCAGGCAAGAAGGGGACACCAGGGAGGAGGGCTGGAGGGCACAGAGCTGCCTAATGGGGCCACGGCCATGCAGCTTGAGCTGACAAATACCCCCTGGACACAGGGCCAGGGGGCTGCGAGATCCCCCCAGAGGGTCTCAAAGGACGCTGAGAAGCTGACCTGTCGGTGTCACAGGCGGTAAGTGTTCCAGACTAAATGGAAGCTGTATTGGCAGGAGAGCTCTGGTTGGGATATCAGAGACCTCTGCTCGGGTTCTGGAAGTGTGAGCGTGGACGCACTTCGTGAAAGATGGAACTAAAAGATAAGCTTGTTTTGGTGCAAAATATTTAAAAATCCAAGCACAGTTTTTTTTTTTTTTTTTTTTTTGACAGGCAGAGTGGACAGTGAGAGAGAGAGACAGAGAGAAAGGTCTTCCTTTGCCGTTGGTTCACCCTCCAATGGCCGCCGCAGCTGGCGCGCTGCGGCCGGCGCACCGCGCTGATCCGATGGCAGGAGCCAGGAGCCAGGTGCTTTTCCTGGTCTCCCATGGGGTGCAGGGCCCAAGCACCTGGGCCATCCTCCACTGCACTCCCTGGCCACAGCAGAGAGCTGGCCTGGAAGAGGGGCAACCGGGACAGAATCCGGCGCCCCAACCGGGACTAGAACCCGGTGTGCCGGCGCCACTAGGCGGAGGATTAGCCTAGTGAGCCACGGCGCCGGCCCAAGCACAGTTTTTTCATAATGTGGATTTCCCATGAACTTTTTGTAGGCCCCTCATACTTAATGGGGCCTTGGAACCATCCAGCTGGTCCCTGAATTTACAGAGGGACAGACCGGGGCCCTAGAGGGGCTAGCCTGCTCAAGCTCAAGCAATACGTTGGTGGCACAGCTCGACCTTGAACCCCAGTCCCCAGACTCCCAAAACAGGCTCTTCAAAACCCTACACTCAAGTGAACTTAGAGACCCACATCAGAGCCACGGTAGGGGCGGTGCTGGCAGGGCTTTGGGCCCATGCTGACCACTTCCGGGAGCCCACTGCCCTGCCCACTTCCTGCTGGCAGCAGCTGGGCCGAGGCAGCAGCAGCAGGTGAGTGGCACCAGCCAGATGCTCTTAAATACAGCTTGGCACGACTTTCCCGTCAGGAGAGAAGGGTTCCAAAAATGAGGATTTTTAGACGCACGACTATAATAGGAGTGGAAACTTATTCCTCCTAATTACATAATTGCATAATTATGCAGTATTAAAATTATGTAAGCCGAACTTGGAGGCTTAAAACCTGGCCTGGATTTCTTTCATCACCTGGGGGCTCCCGTGTGGGCTCAGTGGGTAAGTCCACGGCACAGGGGGAAAGAGGACAGGATGGAGGGCCTGAGTGGACCAGAGAGCAGGGGCAGGAGAGGCTACGAGGATCTGGGGCAGATTCAGCTCCACTTCCTGGAGACAACTCAGAGGTAAAGCCAAGTCAGAGGTACCCTCATTTCCAGGAGAAAAAAAAAATCGGCTTAAAGATCAACCCGTGCTCTGCTCTCAAAGGGAAGGGAGGGCCCTCACAGCTCTGGTCTCCGAGTCAAACCAAGCACTGCCTTGGCTTTTCTGAGCCTCTCAGGTCCACCCTCTCCCAGCCTTCACACCTAAGCCTCCTCCTAGACTTGTTCCAAGGGTAAGTTCTTAGTCCCCTCTCTTTCCTTGAAGAACCAGAGTCATCTATGACTAGTGTGAGAGGATTTCATAGCCGAGACCAAGGGGGACCTGCAGGCGCCACCCCTCTGTGCTCACGGCCTGTTTCCTGCCTCTTCTCTGACTCTCCGGGCCCCCTCCTCCCTCAGCGCGACAGCAGCAGAAGCCTTTCGGGGATGTGCACAGGTGGAGTGTCACTGGTGGACGCCTGGACACCAGACCCTGCCCCGCCCTCCTCCAAGACCCAGCAACTCTGGGCAGGGAAGGGCAGAAGACTAAGCCATCAACCTGCTGACCTGAGGGGGACAGGTGGCTTTGGAGACCACTGATACCTGTGCTCCGTAACTGCTCTGGGGGGCCACATCCCTGCCCACATCATACAGTGTCAGAGGCCTTTAGTTCTCCTGTCTGCATTTAGTCCCGTGCTTCTCCCCCACCCCTTCAACTGGAGAAGCCACAGGGGGCCCGAGAGAGGAGGGAAAATAACCCGCACACTGAGCCCTGCAATGAACAGGAATGTATCTGGGCTGTTCTGGGGGGCTGGGCATCTCCAGGAATCCCCCCTACGCCCCCGGGGAAGCGGGGTGGGAGGGTCTTTCGGACCCGTGAACAAGGGAAGGCCACAGCTGCCACCTCCCAGATGCCAGTGGGAAAGCAAAACAAAGTCACGAGCGCTGGACAGACCGTCTCTGCCACCAAGGCCAAGCATCCGGCTTCCATACGAGGAGGGAGAAATGGATGCCGCCCGGGGCCCTCAGAGACAACAGCTTTCCTGGAGAAACGATCTGCCCTGACTTGGACAGCACTGCTGAGCACACAGCACCAGGGAGCACCGGAGGGTTCGGGCAGTAATTTCTCCTTGTGGCTAATTAGCTTCTTTTCTTGTTAGTCACTTATGTCTACAGTTTTCAAAATACAGTTTGAACAGAGAAAAATGTGCATTCCTACTGAGTTAATTCTATAACAGCAAATATACTGTACCTCAGGTACATTTTTCTTAAATTCCCGGCGGAGTTCAATTAAATGTTTATGAGAATGTTCACTCTCCTCCTGCCGTGCAGACAGCTCAGAAGCGACGGAATTAAGCTCCTTCTGGAACAATAAAATAAAAAGAGGAGGGGGAGAAAGAAAAGAGTTTTTTCCTCTTTTCTCTTTTTAATCATCATACAAAACAGCATTCCAACAAGTTTTCTTAACTCATAAAGCTGAGAAAAGACAGGGTATCGACTCTTGGCACAAACGAATACTGTAAGAAAACTGGGGATACACCAAGAAAAAAACAAAGACCCCACTCCAGGACGGCTGTTTTGCACAGTGACTGTCGGGCCAGATCAATCATCTCTGTGGCGTTGGGTGGAGTTGTTTCTCTTTCTATCTCTTCCCCACCCCCCTGCCCCACCTCTTACATTTCCAAAGGAGTGATGGCATAAGCTTGTCAGTAACTGTAGAAAACATCTCCGAACCATGTCAAAATAGTAAAGTGTGGCATATTGTATGGGCATATTATACAGCAAGAAAGTGCTGTCGACAGCTTTCATATATCAGATGTGGGAACTCTTCCAACTATGACTTACTTACACTTAAAGGTTCATAAATATGCCTTTTAAGATATAGATGGCTTTTTAATTTCAGTGGATTTTGGAAAAATGAAGGTGCCAATAAGAAGCATGCTGACCTTTTGTGTACCCTGCAGTAAATCATTTAAGGTTCACTTCAAGTATAAGAAATATTTCACTGGAGACTCCTGGATTCAGAAGAGATGGGTTGGAAGCCACTGGGCCTGCCTGTGTGCAATGGCTGTGGTGTCAGAAGAGGGGGAGGAGGGAGTGTTTTGCAGGATAGAGCAGCGAGGGGGAAAAAAGTGGGGGATGGAAGGGGGCACGCCCAGCTCAGACTCCTCTCAGACATTGCCTGCTGGCCGAGCGTGTGTGTCTGATCACCCCTAGGGGCTTTTTTCACTTTAACAGTGGCAGTCGCACAAGGGGAGTACAATTCACTGCAAGTTGTCAGGGATTTCATTTGCATAATTCAAGAAACGCTCTGTTTATGTGGTCTGCTGCTTTCTTGCACCGTCCCGAGATGGGCTTTTTTTCTGGACCATAACTCGAGGAGTATTTCTGTATATATCACCCGATTATATTTGCAGCAATCAAGCCCCATAATTTCCTAAATCCGGTGGCGCAATAAATTTCTGCAATCAGATTTATTAAAAACACACATGCAGATGCGGGAGTGTGTTTCTAGGGTGAACTCTTTAATCTAACATATGTATGAGGAGGCCCAGCACTGTGTTGAAAGACCCCATTTGTCATTGCTAATACACATTCATCTTGCACACACAATGAAACACTTTTACCATTAGATAATGAAATAAAAGTACTATTAACCCGCTGCAAATCCTTTTCCCTCTAAGAGACGGAACGCATGGCAATTGTCTTAGATCATGTCTGAGAGTCGGTAAATCTGCTAAACAGCAATTCACCCTAGCACCACAAAGCTGGTACCCCAAACCTGGGAAAAGTGTCTCTGCCCCATGGGGCTTTCTGGAGCAATCCAGGCAGGAGATTCTATTCCAGAGAAGTGTCTAACATCTCTGGAGAATCAGAAGAGCAGAAAGGAGACGGTAGAGGAACAAAAGTTGCTGTCCAACGTGGCGCTGGGGGATGGGCGCTGTCCACGGTCCTGAAACTAATTCCTGCTGCAGCACCGGTCTGCTGGTGGATACGACTGCCTGTCAAAAGGCCCCATACAATTTTGGGCCTAGAGGGGAATGAGGTGTCGCAAGAAAAAGCATAGATGTCTGGTTGTCTTCATTTAAAACCAAGGTCAGTTTCCAATACAGAAACCACAGCTGACCGCCGCCACCATATCGGGTGACTGGGTGAGCTCAGTGTTTGCAGCAATAGATAACTAACAGTTGGTGCAGCCAGGTGAACAGAATTTCACCTGCCAGGGGAGAAAGAGACCTGGAGCGCTCTTGAGCCAAGTGCTCACAGTTTTTCTTGTCCCCTTGAAGACAAAGATGTCATCTGCACATTGCTGCTGGACAAACAACTGAGACTTGGGTTTTTAATGCTTTGGTTTTGGATGACCTTGTTTCTGGCGCTGTGCTCCTGTTTCAGGGACACTGTACCTCCCCACACCACAGCAACTGAGATACCTGGTGGGTCTGGATTCGACTCTTCATTCAACACACCCAGTTTAGGTTCTGCAGGACATCCAGGGCAGGGTAAGGCCAACTCTCTGTTGTGTTGCACCAGACCTTTATGTTTGGTGCCCTACCAGTACCTCCGAGGCTGCTGGCAGGTGCACCTCTGACAGGCAGGGTGTCTGTGGCACCATGCAGCAGGGAGGGCAGAGCCAGGGAAGGCAGGGGGACTTCAGGAGGCCTCACGGCAACCCAAGTTGTTGGTGGCTTTCCTGTTTGGCTCTTGAGAAACAGGCAATGCCAGGGACATCCACGTTCTTCTCAACTTTGCTAACTCTATCCTCATTTTTGAACCCTGAATTCTGGCTGCATTTCTGTGGTAAACACACTACCATCAATAATAACACCAGTAAAAAATATGGGCAGGCATTTTGTCTAGCAGTTCAGTGCCAGTTAAGATACCAGAAATCTCACTTTGGAGTGCCTGGGTTTGACACCTACTTCCAGCTCCTGACTCCAGTTTCCTGCTAATGCGGGAGGTGGTATGGATGGCTCAGGTAGTTGGGTTCCAGCCACTCACATGGGAGACCTGGATTGAGTTCCCAGATCCTGGCTTTGGCCCTGTCCCTGGCCACTTTGGGCATCTGAGGAGTGAAGCAGTAGACAGTAGCTCTGTCTCTTCCTCTCACATAAATAAAATTTATAAAAACAAAAAAATTACCATTTATTGAGTGCTTATGCAGACCAGGTACTATGCTAAGTTCTTATCATATATCATCACATATGACAAACATGTTAAGTGTCTGTAAGGGATATCGTCAATTCTAATAACTGAAGTGAGCATTATCTCCTTGGTGGATTATAAAGGAAATAAAAAAAAGATTTAGTTTACTTAGTTGAAAGGCAGAGTTACACAGAGAGGGACAGAGAGAGAGAGAGAGAGAGAGAGAGAGATCTTCCATCTGCTGGTTCACTCCCCAAATGGATACAACAGTTAGGGCTGGGCCAGACTGAAGCCAGGAGCCAGGAAATCTATGCATGTCTCCCCATGTGGGTACAGGGGCCCAAGAACTTGGGCCATCTTTTGCTTTTCCCAGGTGCATTAGCAAGGAGCTGGCTCAGAAGTGGGACAGCCAGGACTTGAAACCATGCCTATATGGGATGCCACAATCTCCGGTGGTGGCTTAGCCAGCTGTACCACAACACCAGCCTATAAGGGAAATTTTTAGTCACCTGCTTCATTCCCCATTAGCTGGTATGAATTCAGAGAGCTTGTTGTAAATGACATAACATACATGTGTAAAACACCAAAGCATGGTACCAAGTATTCAATAAATGTTGGCTGACGTTAATCTTATACTTAGATAAACTGAGAACTCAGACAACACCACACCAGATAAATGATTCCGTGAGTTCTGGATTTCACAGGGTAGTAAAAAATCTTACCCAAAAAGGTGAGGGGGGCGGGGACCAACGAGAGTATTGCCAATTTTGACTGAAACAAGCAAAGATACTAAGAAGCACTTGCTCCTACCCCTATAAAACAGATATATGAACATCAACAAAGCAAGAAGGCCAAGGACAGACTGACGATGGTCTTTACAAAGAAACAGATTTACAATTGAAAAGGCCATGTTAATTTTTTTTTTTTTTTTTTTTTGAAGAAATGAAAAATTCTTCACAGGTCTGGAGTTAGAAATGCTCACAGAGCTAGCAGGGCCTCCTCTTGGAAAACCTCACAGAACTCGGGATCCTCTCCCACCCTGGCCTCCAGCCCCAGCCCCAGCCCCCAGCCCTGGGGAGCCCTGCTTAACACAGCCCCAGACTCTGGACCCAGCCCAGGCAAGGAGGCGAATCATCTGATTAACCGGCCAGCAGCAGCAGACAGACAGCCCGGAGCCCGGCGCAGACCATTCAAATAATGATCATCATAAACAGCCCATTTGCAACTAAAAAGAAATAATTTTAATGAGCTTGAAGCAGATGATAGATGCAGCTGAGGCTCGGGCCAACGTGTGGAGAGAAAGGGGGCTGGGACTGAGCCGCACCCAGGACGGGCGCTGCAGCAGAAGGCGGGGCTCCAAGGAAGGGGCTCTTCTGATGGGAGCAAGCAGTGCCCAGCGCCCAGCGCCCAGCGCCCAGCGCGTGCCCCCAGCCCTCAGCGGGTCTGCCATCAGCGAGCTGAGCAGTCCTGGGACTTGGATCTCAAGGCACTCCAAACAGAAGCCAGCAGAAGCCTTCAAGGTTGCCTGGCTCCTCCCTGCCTGAACTTTAGATGCACAGCTCCCTCTGTGTGAATTTTGCCACAAGGACATTCTGACAATGACTCCCTGAATCTTTATCTTCATATGGGCTCCCGCGTTTTGTTTCTGACTGGGATATACCCATGCTAAGCTGGATGCGTTTTCACCACTGGCCAGAAGGAGACAGGGAATGTTCATGGCCCCGATCCCCTTGGAGGGGTCCCTTCTGTCCCCTCCCAGTCACCATCCTGTAAAAGTAACCATGATTCTGGTCCTAGCACCATAGGTAAGTTTGCTCTTTATAATGATTCAGCCTCAGTTTCTGTGTCTGTAAAATGGGGACAGAAATTCATGTCTGCAGGGATATTGTGAGGACTTATTTTTTTCTTAAGACTTATTTATCCAAAATGCAGAGTGAGAGAGGGAAGGAGAGAGAGACTGAGACGAGAGTGAGCAAGCAGGCTCTTCCGTTTGCTGGTTCACTCCTCAAATGTCTACAACAACCAGGGAAGGGCCAGGCCAAAGCCAGGAGCCAGGGAACTCCGTCTGGATCTCCCATGTGGACGCAGAGCCAAGCACTTGGGCCGTCATCTGCTGCTGTCCCAGACCCGCAAGCTGGGGGCTGGATCAGAGATCAGGACTGAAAACTGGTACTCTGACGTGGGCTATGGGTGTTGCCGTGCCACAGCGCCGGCCCCTGG